TCTCCCGCGGCTCGGAGAGGCCGGGAGGACAGAGCCCCCGCCCCGCGCACAAGTTTCCATCCCGCCGCGTGTAGCCCCGCTGCGGGGCACACCTGTCAGCTGGAGAGGCTGCAGCCTGGGCAGCCCCACAAAGTTTCGGGGGGTAGATTGGCGGTGTGCGTCCTTGGTTGAGGTTTTCTCCTTCTATTGGCCGGGGGTGGGGGTCGGTCTTAGGGATCGTCCCTAACCCGGTGTCCTTGAAGCCGAATGCGCATTAGCCTCCGGGGGCGAGCTCGCGCGAATCCCTTCTGAGCGAAGGGGGGAGGGGGCGGTGCAGGGACAAGAGGCGGTCTAGGCTCCCCTCCGCTGGCTTGGGGTGACACGGCCCCCTCTCCGGGCAGGGGCACCTCAGCCAGAGCCCACTCCAGCGTCCGATCGTTCGTGAGGCCACCGACTACAGGGTCTTGGTCTCCAAAGGAGTAGGAGGTGCCGGGGTGGTGCCTCCAATTACTGCGCCGGGTGTGGGGGTCCGGCCCGGGAAAGGAGGGCGCCGGCGGCGCCGGGGCTGTCGCCTTTGTCTGCAGGCACACTTTGCCACGGTGGCTGGGGCCCTGGGAGATGAGTGGGACCTGGTCCGACCGATTCCTTGGGTTTTCCCTTGTGGGTCGTGGGAAACCGGCACGTGGGTGTGGCCGGCGCCGCCTTCCCCAGAAGGGGAGGCTCGGGCGCGGTGAGAAGCTGGCGAGTGCCTTCCCGGCCGCATTGACCCGGTGGGCACCGCCTCCAGCTCTGCACCGAGGCGGTGCGCCAGCGGCCGGCGGCAGGTTGCTGGGCTGGCCTCCGAGCCCTCTGCCTCTTCCCAGGTCGTAGGTGGGCAGTGGTGCCCGCAGCGCCCCCTCTGCATGTAATCGCTAAAGGGGGACAGGGGGCTCCTGGGCCGTGGGTGGCAGGGCCTGGGGGCCTCTGGGCCGCAGGAGCGTGCCAGGAGGGGGTGGGGTGGGGACCAGGCAGCCCTGCAGAGGAAGCACGCGGCAGGCTCCTCGGGATGGCGGGGCAGAGCGCCCGGAGGCCGCGCTTCCCGGAGAGGCGAGGCTGCCAGCAGCACTTTCCGGACTGAAGCTGCTGGATGGTGCTGGTGCCTGAATCTCAGGCTGATTTAGGTAGTGACCGTGTGTTCCCGTGGCAAGAGGGTGCATTGGTGTTGGGGTGGGGCTCGGGGCCGGTTTCAGTAACACCTAGAGTTGGAGCAAGCTTGGAAGTGAGACCTCATTGTCTGTAGAGGGTAGGTGGGATGGTAAAGGGGATTCCATAAATCAGGCATCCCCCCCCTCCGCCCCCTACAATCAGCCTTCCCACTGAAGGGGAAGTCTTTCATAGCTGGGAGTGCTTCCAATTTTAAGGAAATTATTTACCTATGGAGCAGGAAACCATTAGAACCCCCAATGGGGGGAGGGGGAGATACCAAGTTAGAGAACTTGGCAAGGTCAGGCAGCCAGGCGGTGGTAGAGCCCTGTCTCAAGCACAAGTCTTCTGGGGTCTTTGTAGTCCGAGGCTCTTTTCATTAAAACACGGCTGTTTCCAACAGTACAGGTGCTGGGAGCCCTGGTTGTTGCAAACGCAATCTGGCAGCATTTGCAGGAGTGGCCAGGCTGGGACGAGCACAGAGAGTCTATGCGGGCACTAGGACCAGGCTGATGGGGCCTCCCAGACAGCCACCCTCCAGGCGCTGCAGTGTGGCTGCAGTTCCCTTTGGTGCCCTGAGCGCTGGGCTTCCAGGGGAGCTGTCCACACCCTAGCTCTCCTCTCCCTTCCCCTTGTCTGCCTTTCCCAGCTGCTTTCCCTTTCTTTCCTGGCTCAAGTAAATGAGGAAAAGATGAGAAAGGAGAGAACACAGGGAAACTTTCTCTTACGGATTTTGCTGTTTCCGTCTTTTTTTCTCCTGGCACCTCTTTATGTTTCCTGCTGTTTCTTCTCTCTTCCCCTCCTCCCCCCACTTTTTCTTTTTTAAAAAAATATCCTTACCCAAGGATATGTTTCTATTGATCTAGAAAGAGAGGAAGGGGGAGAGGGAAACATCACTGATGTAAGAGAGAAACATCGATCTGCTGCCCTCCTCCCCCATATATGCCCCCACTAGTGATCAAACCTGCAACCTAGGCATGTACTCTGACCGGGAATCGAGCCCACAACCTTTTGGTTGACAGGACAATGCTCCAACCATCTGAGCCACCAGCAGGGCCCTTCTTTACGGGCCTCACCGGTGACTGTGCTTTACTGGCACATGTTCCCCTCCCAGAGTGCAATCCCCTAGAGCAGCGGTTCTCAACCTGTGGGTCGCAACCCCTTTGGCGAACGACCCTTTCACAGGGGTCGCCTAAGACCATCCTGCATATCAGCTATTTGCATTACGATTCATAACAGTAGTAACATTACAGTTATGAAGTAGCAACGAAAATAACTTTATGGTTGGGTCACAACATGAGGAACTGTATTTAAAGGGCCAGAAGGTTGAGAACCGCTGCCCTAGAGGTTACAGTGCAGGTGGAAGCTTGGGCCACTGGCTGCCTCCTTGTCCATCATCCTCCCTTTCCCCTGGCCCCTCATGTGCTCAGAAGTGCCTCCGGCTCACCCCTGCTGATGCTTGCCTTTAAGAATTTTGGGTCAGGCAGACCCCAATTCTGTCATCCTCTAGCTAGGTAGCTCTCTTCAGTTTTGGTTTATCTAACAATAAACAATAATAATGCTACTTTAAGTGCTTTACCTGTGTAACCCATTTAAACCTCAAAGAGGCTGCAAGGTTAGTGCTACAACCCCCCCATTTTACAGATGAATTAACTAAGGGACAAAAGATAGTCACACAGATAGTGTCGGGCTGGGATTTGAACCCTAGCAGTCTTAGTCTTAGTCATGCTCAGTGGAAATAGTTTTTATTACTGGGTCATCTACCCTGTTCTGGGCCAGGCCCAGAGGTAATGCCTCCATTCCCACTGACTGGAGATGCTGCCTCCTGCCTGACCCCACATCTCCCGCCTTCTCCCGCCAGATGCCGGTGCAGCTGACGACAGCCCTGCGTGTGGTGGGCACCAGCCTGTTTGCCCTGGCAGTGCTCGGTGGCATCCTGGCAGCTTACGTGACAGGCTACCAGTTCATCCACACAGAAAAGCACTACCTGTCCTTCGGTCTGTACGGCGCCATCCTGGGCCTGCACCTGCTCACCCAGAGCCTGTTTGCCTTCCTGGAGCACCGGCACATGAGGCGGGCAGGCCGGCCACTGAAGCTGCCCTCCCAGCCGCGGCGCTCAGTGGCACTCTGTATCGCTGCCTACCAGGAGGACCCCGACTACCTGCGCAAGTGTCTGCGCTCAGCCCAGCGCATCGCCTTCCCCAACCTCAAGGTGGTCATGGTGGTGGACGGCAATCGGCAGGAGGATGCCTACATGCTGGACATCTTCCATGAGGTGCTGGGTGGCACCGAGCAAGCTGGCTTCTTTGTGTGGCGCAGCAACTTCCATGAGGTGGGTGAGGGTGAGACGGAGGCCAGCCTGCAGGCGGGTATGGACCGTGTGCGGGACGTGGTGCGCGCCAGCACCTTCTCATGCATCATGCAGAAGTGGGGAGGCAAGCGAGAGGTCATGTACACAGCTTTCAAGGCCCTTGGCGACTCGGTGGACTACATTCAGGTAAGGGTGCCTCCCTACCAGGGTGGGGACGTGTCCAGCCAGCCAGGCATACCCTCCCCCAGGAGTTTCAAGTCCAGTGTAGATGCCTTGTGTTGTGCACATCCCTCCTCTGCACTTAAGAAGACAATAGGCATAATGGTTCTGAACAGCAGTCCTGGGGGCAAAAAGACCTGGGATGGAACCCTGGTTCTGCTGTTACTTAACTTGGTGAATTGTGTTCTGATAATAAAAATAGGAAACAGATATATAGCATTCACTTTTTACCAGGCACTAGTGTAGGTTTTTCATACATGTTAACTCTTTTAATCTTCATAATGCTCGTAGGGGATAAGTACTATTATTATCTTCACTCACAGAAGGCGAACCTGAAGCACAGAGAGGCTAAGTAACTTGCCACATGTCACTCAGCAGTAAGGTGCAGAGCCAGGATTCGAGCCCAGGCAATCCACTGCGCATCTGCTCTTATTCATTGTGCAATACTGCCTCACCACTGGCAGCATGGGGATGAGCCCTCCATAAAGACGTGTGGTGAAGATCCTGGCCAGTATGGCTCAGTGGTTGAGTGTTGATCCATAACCAAGAAGTTACTGGTTCGATTCTTAGTTAGGACAAGTGCCCAGGTTTCAGACTTGATTCCCAGTAGGCAGCATCCAGAAGGCAGCCGATCGATGTTCTGCCTTCGTAGCCATGTTTCTCTCTCTCCCTCTCCCTTCCTCTCTCTGAAATAAATTTTTTAAAAGTGTGGCGGCCCTAGCTGGTTTGGCTCAGTGGATAGAGTGTCAGACTGCAGACTGAAGGGTCCCAGGTTCGATTCCCATCAAGGGCACATGCCTCAGTTGAGGGCTCGATCCCCAGTAGGGGGTGTGCAGGAGGCAGCCGATCAATGATTGTGTCTCATCATTGATGTTTCTATCTTTCTCCCTCTCCCTTTCTTTCTGAAATCAACAAAAATATATTTTTAAAAATAAAATAACCTTAGAAAAAAGTGGTGAAGGGCAAAAGACATCATGCTTGAAAGCACTCAAATATTGTTTTAATTATGGACCAAAAAGTCCTACCTTCTCAGTGTCAAATTTGTGTCTGTGTAAGGTAGAGGGACACAGGTGAGAATCATCCCACAGTTTGATTCCCCAGCAGTCATCGTAGGGCCAGATCCCTGAACAGACCCTGCCTAGCTTCCAATCAAAGGGATGGCTGACACCAGCCTGAAAACTTTATTAGATTGACAAGGTTGAATACCTCCAGTTTTCAAATAACAAAACCTAGAGAGAACTGATTAGAGCTTCACGCATTTCAGTAACAAGTTGAAACTGATACCCAGGACCCCAGATTTCTGGTCCAGCATCCATGCTGTCCATTCCCCTGTCTCTTCCCTTCTCCGAACTTGCCAGAAGGTTTTGCCCATCCGGTTGAATGAGTAGTGGCTGTTGTGGTAGCCCACCTGTGTACTAACTCAGTATTGCTGACAACATGTTAAGTACACCAATATTTAAATTTTCTATACTGTTCCCACCTAAACTTAGCTTTCCATAGATTTTTTTTTGTTGTTTGGGGTGGGTGTTGTTTTTTTTTTTTAAGTTGTATTCTTGCTTGAGAGTTGGTACATTTATTATCTTTTTCTGTGTTCCTAGGCCCAAGGACCTCCTCGGCCTTGTAGAGGGGGATGTGAGGCAGTCTTGATTCTGCACTTCATCTAGGGTCAAAGGGCCTTTGAAACTTTCCTGGGGACTCAGAAGGGTTAGCAAAAACCCTTGAGCCCTGGCTCGTGCTCAAGCATCATTCACTCCCTTGAAGCACAGGATTCCCCCCTCCCCCCAATCCTGCTCTGCTACACAGCTTCCTTTCCTGATAATTTCCTGTGTGTTCTGGTGGATTAGCAACTAGGCTCACATACCTGAGCAGACGTTCCCCCTAGGGCTCTGGGATCACTGCCTTGGGCAGCCCTAGGCGGCCTGTCCTCTAACAGCCTTGCTGAGGGCATGGCTTTCCCTCTGTGGGAGGTAACTCTGCCCCAGGCAGTGGTGAGACACAAGAGCTCTGGCCTCTCTAGCCCTGCTCAGCTAGAAGACCTTCCTGGAGTGAAGGAGGCTGAGCAGCATGAAGAAAGTGTTAGGGTCAGGGCAGGAAGTGGCAGGAGACCAGCAGCACTGGGAAGCGTGGTTTGTAAGCTGAGGAGGCCTGGGAGTTTGACCGAGGCTCCTTGGGACCTTCCCAGCCTGGACCAGAATGTAAGACTGTCGGTAGGGAGGTAGGAGGGAGCAGGTACGATGCCCTGCCTGGTTCCTCCTCAGCCTTCTGCTGCTTGTGGCCACCGTGTCTTCCAACATGGAGAGAGAACGTTGGGTAGGTTGGAGCTTGGGGGGCCTCCCCCTTCCTACAAGCCAATGGCTTTCACTCAGCACCTTCATTTAAAGCATTTGGGGCTTTTGCAGAACAGGGTTTGGACTCATCTATGGATACTGTTCTTTGCTCCATCAGAGGTCAGAAAACCAATTCCCTTGCCCAATATTTATCTGGGCTCTTTGTACCATCTCAGTAATTTTATAGAAAACAGACAAGGAGTCAGCCACCAGGGTAAGTGTTCATAGCCCAGATTCACCTAATGGGGCTACCTGTTAGAATCAGACAATGAGCCTCCCCAGGAAAGGAAGGCAGCGCGCAGGATTTGATTCAGGTTTTGAAGGCAGCTGCTACCAGAGCTTCCATGCCCGTCCAGCCCTTGGCCATACTGTGCCCTGATCTGAGACTCGGCCAAGGGAGCTCTGAAGGCTTGGCAGCCATGTTAGTGTGTGTGTGTGGGGGGGGGGGGGGGGG